CCACAACTCGCCAAATGCAAACCAATGCAATCCGACGCCGAATCGAAGGCACGATTTTGTTTTTTTCGGGAAATCGCTTTCGGGGCCCTTGGATTCGAGATCGAATGTTTTTCGAATTTGTCGGCCGACCCCCATCAGGCGCGTCGTGGTTATAACACAGTGTGCAGTGGTCGCGCGGACGTGCGCGCATGGCAGTGCGCGTGCAAATTGCTGTTGCACAAAATTCAACGCCCCGACTTCGATTGGAATCAAATGTGGCACGCCTCATGTGTGAATATTTCAGCGTTCGATTTGTTGGGTTTGTGTGACTGAAATTCCGCACGCGGGGCTTGTAAATCACGCCTGCGGGGCTTTGCTAACCTGATTAGCGCTACTTCGTAAATGGCATATAACTTGAAATAACTGCTTCCGCTAATCGCGCTAATCGATTACGGTGGTTACAATAACCTGGTTATAACTCCATCCAACCATGAGCTCGCAATTATTGCAATTGCGTAAGTGCCATAACGGATAACATTAGATTTATCTAAATTGTTGTGAATAGGCGAAGTTAGGGTCAAGTTGCACCTCGCTTATAACATGGTTGCGCATACATATAAGTCCGACAATCGATTACTAAACGCCGCATCCATTCCAGCAGAGGAGCCCAGAGCGGCCTCCGGCACCGTTTCCGGACAGATCCGCTGGATCAGCCGACGAATCCCAAACCGGTGCCCTCGCTTGAGACATCCTCACACAACTGGCCCCGGGGGAGGTGCCCAGAGGAGCCCAGAGCGGCCTCCGGCACCGTTTCCGGACAGATCCGGTGGATGTGGTGGATCCGCCGACGAATCCCAAACCGGCGCCCTCGCTTGAGACATCCTCACAAAACCGGCCCCGGGGGAGGTGCCCAGAGGAGCCCAGAGCGGCCTCCGGCACCGTTTCCGGACAGATCCGGTGGATCCGCCGACGAATCCCAAACCGGCGCCCTCGCTTGAGACATCCTCACAAAACCGGCCCCGGGGGGTGCCCAGAGGAGCCCAGAGCGGCCTCCGGCACCGTTTCCGGACAGATCCGGTGGATCCGGTGGATCCGCCGACGAATCCCAAACCGGCGCCCTCGCTTGAGACATCCTCACAAAACCGGCCCCGGGGGAGGTGCCCAGAGGAGCCCAGAGCGGCCTCTGGCACCGTTTCTGGACAGATCCGCTGGATCCGGTGGATCCGCCGACGAATCCCAAACCGGCCCCGGGGGAGGTGCCCATGGAGCCCAGAGCGGCCTCCGGCACCGTTTCCGGACAGATCCGCTGGATCCGGTGGATCCGCCGACGAATCCCAAACCGGCGCCCTCGCTTGAGACATCCTCACAAAACCGGCCCCGGGGGAGGTGCCCAGAGGAGCCCAGAGCGGCCTCCGGCACCGTTTCCGGACAGATCCGGACAGATCCGGTGGATCCGCGCCCCGGGGGAGGTGCCCAGAGGAGGAATGAGGAGGAGGAGGAGGAGGAGGAGGAGGAGGAGGAGGAGGAGGAGGAGGATGATGGAGCTGTGGGGTGGAGGAGGACAGACGGAGGCAAGAGAAGGATGGAGGAGGAGGAGGAGGAGGAGGAGGAGGAGGAGGAGGAGGAACCTCATCCTCACCCTCGCCAACAAGCGCACGCACCTTCTTCTATATACAGAAACTCCCGATCAACCGCAGAGCGGCCGGCTAGCATCTGCAGCCGATGTCTAGAGTGCCTGCACATCTCCTCCTCCTCCCCAGCCCCCCCTGGGGAAGGTGAAGAGAAGGAAGAGGAGGAGGAGGAGGATGAGGAGGAGGAGGAGGAGGAGGAGGAGAAGGAAGAGAAAGAGAGAGAGAGAGAGATGATCTCAGCAGTATTTTCCTGGGCTTCCAACTGCGACTGCCCTGAGCCAACGTGATTACAAGCACACCAGATGCAAGAGACGGCGGGGGGAGAGGGGACGGAAGAGGAAAAGCAGGGAACAGGAAAGAACAACAGCATCGGTGGTCACAGTCTTTACTCTCGCCGTATAAAACAAACACGGAGCAAACGACCCAATGACATCCTCGAAACCAGCCAGCTCGGCCCCATCACAGACGAGAGGAGGAGGCAGGGACGGCATCACGAGTGGGGTGTGCATGGGATTGCTCGTGTGAGGACAAAACATGCGAGAAGACATGACCTAAAAACGGATGCTCTCGGAGAAGCCTGTGTAGAACACGGCGCAAGAGACATGGAGGATACTGTAAAGCCTCGAAGCCGGTGAATGAGACCCGGAGAGCGGTCGTACAACTTTTGATCGCACTTGGCGACATTCTGGCCCTTCGCCCTCGTGTCTCCCAGCCTCAGAGCCAAGATGCCAAGGTGGATCCGGCCACGCGCGCAGTGTTGGGCGAGCTGACCTGGCTCACACCCCACGTCCTCCGACGTTCGAATAGCACATCCCACAATGTGTTGCCAGACAGCGGAACAAGTAGAATGCGAATGGCAAACGAGAAGCAATATGAAACCATATATAAGCAATATGAAACAATATAGAAGGAATGTGTGTACAGTAGCGAATCTGCTCGGGAGCGGGGAGGTCCGATCGCCGAACTTGGCTGAGAGATGATCTCAGCAATATTTTCCTGGGCTTCAACTGCGACTGCCCTGAGCTTACGTGATTACAAGCGCACCAGATGCAAGAGACGGCGGGGGGAGAGGGGACGGCAGAGGAAAAGCAGGGAACAGGAAAGAACAACTGCATCGGTGGTCACAGTCTGAAGGAGGAGGAGAAGGAGGAGAAGGAGGAGAAGGAGGAGAGGGGAGGGGCGAGAGGATAAGGAGGAAATAAAAGAGGAGGAGGAGGAGGAGAAGGAGAAGGAGGAGGAGGACGAGGAGGAGGAGAAGGAGAAGGAGTAGGAGGAGAAGGAGGAGGAGGAGGAGGAGGAGAAGGAGGAGAAAAAAGAGGAGGAGGACGAGAGAGGAGGACGAGAGAGGAGGAGAGAGGAGGAGAGGGGAGGGGCGAGGGGGGAAGGGCAGGGGGAGAGCGAGTGAGAAGGAAGAAGATCAAGCCGGGGAGGCTGGACAGGACTCCGCACAGCGCATCCTCCTTGGAAGACTTTTTGGGGGGCCGATCCCGCCGCGAGCGCCTCTGGCCTCCCTGCTGTGCCCCCTCCGACCGTCTCGGGGGGGTTCAAGCGAGGATGGCGCGACCGGGGGCACGGCGACCCTGTCGGGACGGCATGGCCAGAGCAGGGCCGGAGCAGAAACTCGGTGAAGACGGGGTCATCGGAACGCCTTCTTTGACGCTGTCGCTGCTTGCCCCCCCCGGTCATCGGCGGAGTCATCATCGGGAAGGCGGAGCGCGACGTGAAGATGCCCAGCCTTTCGACGGATCTTGGTGCGCGGGTCCCCGAGTGGGCACTGGCATGTGGCCGCGTCGGCCTGCTTCGGCTGCCAGAGGGGAAGTGGGAGCTGGAGAGCCAGGAGAGCCTGTACGAGTAAGCAGCGGCGGGCAGCCCGTCCGGGCCACGTGGACGCTGTGATTCGTGCGCGCGGTTGTCTTCCGCACGACTTCGCAAAATCTGCTCATTCCTTGCGGGGACGGGGGTCCACACATGCCTTACAGTCGGACCGAGGTATAAGATCGAGGGCGTTTCGGGAGGGTACCCTAGTGTTCTTCGTGCGTGTTGAATGCTCTTATGCATCCTGGAGGAGGGCACCCTCGAATGTTCTTCAGTTCGTGCTCTTGATGGATGGTATTCTGGCCTAGGTCCGACTGTATTCGTGGTACGCCCCCGCGTGGGACGGAGAGGAGGATGAGAAAAGTCTTGTAGTGCTTTTATCGGATGGCCTGGCCTCGGCTCCCCGCAGAGAAGCCAGCGCTGGATATTGGCTACCGTGTTGGCATCAATCGTTCCCAAAGTTCTTTCCGCCTTCATCTGCATCTCTCGATACCTTGATCGGTCCCATCGGGGTAGCAGTGGCACCTGGCATCGATGCTCTGTGAGTCCGTGTTTGCTTCCCCCTCTCTCTCCTTGTTTTTTTTTTTGTTTTTGTTTCTCTCTCTCTCTCTCTCTATGTGCATATACTTTGTTTTCTCGTTCTCTCTCTTTCTCTCTCTCTCTCTCTCTCTCGCTGCTCCTCTCCCTTTGGCTCTCTTCCGTAGGAGCTACAGTTACGTGTTCGCGATGTGCATGGATGCCTCTCTGTTGTGGTTATCAATTCTCTCTCTCTCTCTCTCTTTCTCTCTTCCTCTCTGTCTCTTTCTCTCTCTCTCTCTGTCTCTCGCCTTGACTCGATCTCCCTCTCCACTTTACGTGTACGATGTTTATTCGCTCTCTGATGATAGCCCAGCTGCGCACATCCTGTTTTGATGTGGTTCACATTCTGATTCACATTCTGCTCGATTGGAACCAATCGGTAAATGTAGCTGTGGATGGAGGAAAGAAGGATGAGAGCAAGTGGGGAGGCAAGAAGGGATGTAGGGAATGTAGCAGTGTAGCGGAGGAGGATTGCCCACGGCACGGCCACATTGTTCCATTGTCTCGCACAGAGAGACACAGAGAAAGAGAGAGAGAGGTAACAAGAGAGAGAGAGAGAGTGAGAGAGAGAGAGAGAAACGTAAACAAAGAGAGGGAGAGGGAGAAGGAGAAGGAGAGAGAAAGAGATGTGTGTACATTTATATATAGAGAGAAAGTGTTATCTATATATATATATATATATAGAGAGAGAGAGAGAGAGAGAACAACACAAAGACGTTAGCAACATTCTGCCTAACCCCCTCTGCCGTATTCAGTGCGAACCTCTTCCCATCTCCATCGTTTCAATCACCTTTCTCATCTTGCCACCTCTCCATCCTCTCTCTCTCTCTCTTACACTCCCTCTTTCCATCTTCCCGTCTCTCTCTATATCTCTCTCTCTCATGCGTTCTCTCTCAGTATAACTACATATGTACATCTGTATGTATATCTCTCCCTCTCTCTCTTTCTTCCGCCTCCTTGGCCTCAAAGCTCCAGCGGCGGCATGACGGTCGCAAGGTCTTTGAATTTTGGCGGGACCACGCACACGTGGTGGGTGGCGAGCCGCCTGCGCTGGCGCTGCTGGTCCCCCCGCGGAGCCTCCTGGTCTTCACCGAGGAGGCCTCGCTGCATACCCTCGCAGTTCGTGGAGAGGGGATCGGAAGGCGGGGAGGTGTGAACAGAGCAGTGGGGCCGGAGGGGGAGCCATAAGAGTTCGTATGCTCGTGTTGCTGCGATGCCGTGCTGTCCGCCAGGCCAGGGTCCACCGCGTGTGCTTGCCTTTCGCAGGTCGGTGCACGTCGCGCTCCTGGTCTGCCCGGCAATATGTCGCCTCCCTGTGTTGTTTTACGGGATGGCAATGTAGTGGCCAGGAGGGCAGCCGACATGGCGCAGTGTCCTTGCTTGCTTTTCGCGAAGGTTGGGCAGCAGCTGCGCTTTCGCTACAAGAGGGCAGGAAACTGAATAGTTGGTTGAACGGTTTGGGTGGTTGGGAGGTTGGTTGGTTGGTTGGTTGGTTGATTGACCACGCTTGCCTCCGCTCCGCTGACCCCGTTTCCCCTTCCAACGGCCTCTTGCGAGGCCTACAGCGCCCACCTCCACGGCATCGCCGACAGACGCTATGACGAGATCACCGCTGTTGCCAACTGGAAGGGGCACCAGGGCGTCGGCCATGAAGCTACACCCGAGTCGTCACGCAGCTTCCTTATTTCTGGCAGCCCTCGCTCACACCCACGAGGCCGAGCCACATGCAGCAAGAACGTGTGTTGGATGTTTTGCGGGCGCGGTGCAATCATCCTCGGAGGGTGCAAGAGATTCGAGGGGCCTCTTCCTCTTTCCCCTCATCCTCCTCCGCCCTCGATGTTTCGGGCCTCTTATATTTGTTCATCGCACCTGCGCCGCCCCTCCCCCCGCACTCCCGAAATGTGAGCACCACGATGGAAAGTAGATGTCAGAGGAGATGCAAAGGAGGAGGAGGAGGAGGAGGACGACGACGACGAGGAGATGAGGAGGAGTATGAGGAGCAGGATGAGGATGAGGAGTACGAGATGAGGAGGAGGAGGAGGAGGAAGAGGAGGAGGAGGAGGAGGAGGAGGAGCAGGAAGAGAAGGAGGAGGAGAAGGACGGGAGGATATGAGGAGGAGGATGAGGTGGATAACGAGGACGGCTGAGGAGGAGGAGGATGGGGCCGATGAAGGCGAGGAACAGTCAGGCTCGACGGCAGGTCTATCAATGATGGCCCCTTCAAGGGCTCGGTGCGCTTCGCAGTGGTATGTGTCAACGGCGCAGTTGCGCACGTCTACACGGCTTCAGCTCTTGTTTGGTGTCACTTTTGTGCGCCTAGTGGCCGTTGCGCACATGTTTTTAGAATGCGACTGGCCCTCTCTAGCACGCATATGCATGTGCAGCAGCCTGGTATGAAGTATTTCCTGAACGCTAGCCAGTGCAGAGTCGCAGGTAGGGGCACGCCGTGCCTGTCTGATCCGCACTGGCGTCTTCCTATTCAGCGGCACATTATGGCCTGGTTCGCAGCATAATGCGTCTCGCGCGCCTTCGGCAGCGTAGTAGCTTTTGCCGGGCGTGGTCTTACAAGCCCGGTTGTTCGATGTGTTCTTTGTTTTTGTTCCCCCCTCCACTCTCTCTTTGTTTTGTTTGCCTTGCCTCCGCTTCCACTTCCAGATGCGCGTGGCCGCGCAGCTGCCTGGGGGCTGCGCCTGGCCCCCGCAGGCCCCGCCCCATGAGGGCCGGCCCCGCCCCCATGAGGCTCCAGATGTCCCCAGGAGGGGGGTGCACGAGCAGTCCAGGGCCTCCCTGGGACTCCCCCTCCTGCCCGCGCTGGCGCTTGCCGGACTCTCGTATAGGAGCCCAAAACAGGCCTCAAAGGCCCCACTGGGAATTCAGCCCAAGAAGTTCAGATCGTGGCAGATGTTTGGCCCCATTTCATTATTACACCCTGTAATACTCCAATATCCTCGTCCCTGGTAGGCTTCGCCTACCAGGCTGTCCCCGCAGGATGCGGGGGGGCTGCTGGGGGGTGCGAGCCTGGGCAGATCGGGGCGCGCTTGGTCTGGTCTCGGGAGGGGGATGGGGGGAGACTTACCTGGGCAGCGGCTGCGCGGGGAGCGATAGAGAGAGAGCGAGCGAGAGCGAGAGAGAGAGAGAGACAGACAGACAGAAACAGAGGCAGAGGCAGAGACAGACAGAAACAGAGACAGCTTCCCAGGCGCAGACAGAGGCAGTGGCGGCGCTCGTCGCGTTTCTCCCTAGAAGTATCGACGAACATGTCCTGGCCCAGCCGGGCTTGTGAGACCACGCCCGCCAAGCTTTTCAGGTCGCAGTCGCAACATCGCCACAATCATGGAGTCGAGAGCACATGGCGTGTACCCACCTGGACACGCTCGCCATGCATCGGAATTCGTCGTGAACGCCTGTCTTGCACACACTTGTGCTGCGATGGTGTGCAGCAGTATCTGGCCATCTCGCTGCGCGCACCTCGGAACGACTGGGCCGCACAGACTTCATGCTGCACGCAGCCGTGTCATTGCATGACGAATGTGTTCGGGACATGCAGAACCTTGGCGCGTTCGACGCAATCGGCCCGTCGTTGGCCATGATGCAACAGAATCGGTTGTCCAAAAGGTTTTCCCATGCGATGAACGCTCCACTACCTTCCGGGAGAACAGGGCGTGCTAGCTGCTAGCTGCGGGAGTAAGTTTGAGTTTTGACCGGCAGTGCTGGGCCACTCGGTCCAGCTGCGCTTGGAAGCATCTCCAGCCCCCACCCCACCCACCTGAAGGTGTCCTCCAGCGAGATCTCAGTTGCAAGCGTGCGATGATTATTACCATTCGCAGCAATCATCAGCATTGGGCGATGGTTCGGCTCATGTCGAAATTGAGCTATGCGCCCGTAGGGATCAAAGCAGGCAGTCGGCATATATGTATCGTTGTGCTCTTGTGCTCCTTGCCTGACGCCGGCTATCTCAGAGTTGCCCAATCCGTCTTCATGCCGCAATGGCTACCGCAGCGCTCCCACGTTTGCTTGCCATGTGTCTCTGCGGAACTTGAAGGTGCGCGGAGTTGGCCAGCAGGGCCGACAGAATGTCCACAGCTCGCTCAGATGCCGCACGCTGTCCGTATCAGTTCCGCCGGGAGCACGCTGCGACCCCCGTGTTCTGATCTACACCCACGGGCCTTGCTCATACGAGTGGCTGACGGTCACATCCGCCTCGTCCACATCCGACCAAGGGCGACCCCGAAATTTCCGGGATGTGGCGGGTCGAATCGCGAGTCGGGTCGGAGGGAATCCGACACAGGCAGGGTGCTCGCCTCAAATCTCTGGTATCGTGTTGGAGTTGCAGGCGGTTCGTCGGCAGGCGGCCATCCCCTTTGGGATGTTCTCTGGATGGCGGTGCAAAGGGGGGGCGGGGGGAGACGAAGAAAGGTGCACCTTTTGTGCCCTAGAGGGTCCCTGAAGGGTCCCCCCTGGTGGCCCTTTTGGGAACCTTTAAGGCTCCCCTAGGGCCCCTTAGGGGGCCCCCGACAGGCCCCCCCACAAAAGGGCCCCCCATGCGGCCCCAGAGCACGAAAGGCGCACGTTGCTCCGCCCTCCCCCCCAATCGGCAGTCGTCTGCCTTTGGCCTTCCCGAAATTCCGAACTATGGGGAACCCATAGGTCGCCAGATTCCCCAGGGGGTCTTGGCGGCCTGTGGGTTTCCCACACTTCGCAGGCCTTCGCCAAGTTACCCTCCCCCCATGCCAACAAGCCACGCCCGAGTGGGTGGGGCTCAGGAGCCCGAGCAGCTGGGCCCGGTGGGCCCCTTCGCCGTGGGCCGCGAGGCAGCTGGAGCCGGCTGCGGCCTCGGAGGTGCGCGGCCCTGCCTCGGAGGGCGCCAGCTCTACACCTGCACCGATCTGGGCCCTCGGGATCGGCCCTCCTCTCTCCCTCCCCTCTCTCCCTCCCTCCCTCCCTCCCTCCCTCCCTCCCGCTGCGGACACGTCCGCCGGCGCACTTTGATCGGGAGCTGGCGCAATCCCCCAACCACAGGAACGGTGCACCGCTCAGCGGTGGCCGTCCCCAGGGAAGAGGGGGTGCGCAAGCCAGGGCCTATAGAGCGGCATACAAGGGAGGCCGTGGACCACCTCCAGCCCATCGTAGGTCTCGGTCGTGGGCCGCCGCCGTCAGGAGGGGCACCAGGGGCGTCCGGCGGCCCGCGGGCGGGGGGCGCCCCCGCTCGAGCGCGGGATGGCCGAGTTGGGCCGGGACTCGGCCAACTCCCGCGCGGGCGGCGCGCCTCCCCTCGGGGCGGCCGAGGCCGTGCGGGGGGCCGCGGGCGCGGCGGCGGACGCGCCGCGCGGGGCGCCGCGGAGGCCGCCGAGCCCAGCGCCGCTCGGGGCTGGCGGCCCCCAGCGCTGCTGCGGTGCCCCCAGGGTGGCGCCGCCCTCCGAGGTCCGAGCCGCCCTCGGTGGCGCCGCGCCCCCAAGCGCCAGTCAGCCCCCGCCTCCTCACCAAGTCGCCCCAGCGCGGAGCACCGTCTGCGCCTGGTCGCGCTGGAGTGCCATGGCGACGCGCCTGTAGGCGCGGCGCATCGCCACGGCACGCTGGTCTGGTGGGAGGCCGCTGTGGAGCGCGCGCAGGAGGGCTACGCCGGCGGGCCCCATCCTCCCGCCGGGCTCGAGCGCCAGCGGCACCAGCTCAGGGTGGGGGTAGCGACGGCGCTTCTTGCGCTCGAGCGCGGCCGCCAACCCGCCATCCCGGTCTGCCGCCGCGCGGGCGTCGGAGCCGCGACCCAGCGGGTGGCTGACCGTCACGTCGGCGTGTCTAGTGCGGCCCCCAGGCAAGGCGAAACTGATGTCCAGCCGTGCCTCGACCCCGTCCTGCGCCCACTCTGGCACTACCTGCTCCTCCAGCGGCGCCGCGCCGAGCGCGTCCTCCAGGGCGCTGCTGAAAGCCCGCAGCACTCGCGTGTGCCTCCTCGTGTGCGAAGGCCCCCGCGGGCAGCAGAGGGCATGGACTGCCTGGTTGTTGTGCTGCGCCGCGGCGTCCGGCACCCCGGCCCTCGTGCAGGCGCCGCACGTGGCAGGCATGTTCAGCGACAGGCCGAGGCGAACGTGAAAAGCAGCGGCGAACTCGTCGTCCGGCATCCATTCCTCATCCTCGTCGGCCGGCAGCATCCAGGTACCCGCTCCAGGGCCTCCGCCTGAGCGGAGGAGCGCCCAGTCTTCGCGCGGGAGCTCCCCAAGCAGTGCGTCCTTCTCCAGCTCGGCCAGGGCACGCCCAAGGCGACTCTGCAGGTGGGCCTGGGGCTGTGTCAGTCCGAGGCGCACGTCGTCCTGCTCAGCCAGCCCTGCTCGCTCCAGCGTCGCCGTCGCCGCGTCCACTCTGGCCGCCAGCCGCGGTGCCCTTGCTCCGAGCTCCTCCAACGTGCTCGCATTGACGGCCTTCGCCACGGCTGGGAGCGCGTCCACAGCGCTAGCAAGGAGCGCCGCCGGCGCGGTCCGCTTAGCGTCTGGAAGCTCCAAGCCGCCCTCACGCAACGGTAAGCGTGACCAGCGAAGGCGGGAGGGGTCCAGAGGAGCAGAGCGGCCCAGGGCGGCTGCCGCGGCGGCCACTGGGGCGTCCAGCTGCGTCAGGGTTTGCTCTGCGGCCGGCACCGTGCGCATGTGGAAGTTCACATCTGCCGGCACGACCGTGCGGAGGAGGCAGAAAGCCTGGTGCTTGCCCAGCCCTGCTGGCGCCAGTTGCTGTAGGCGGTCGCAGGCGCGTCGGCGCCGATCCAGTAGCCTCTGCCATACCTGGTCCGCCGCCTCCATCATGCCCGGGGCGCCCACATCGAGGGGCACGCGGAAGACCTCTGGCTGCCGGACCCGGGCCACCGGGAGCCGCGCCCGCGTGAGTGGCGTCTCGAATGCTGGCTCAGGCGCACCCTCGGGCTTCCAGTAGGTGGTCTTCGACGCGTTCAGCCGGAGTCCAGCCTCGGCGAAAGCCGGCGTCGCCGCTCGCACGGTGTCCGGGAAAGCGGCTGGGCGCGCCGCCACATCGACGTCGTCCATGTAGGCGGTGAGCTGCCTGGAGACCCCGCCCGCCTGCAGGTTACCGTCTAGCGCGCGCACCGGGGCGTTGATCCCCAGCGCGAAGAACAAGGCCGAGAGTGCACCGCCTTGTGGTACCCCGCATCGGACCTGCACCGGGACGTGGGCGCCATCGTCCGTCACCAGCAGGTGCTCCGAATCGGCGGCCAGCAGGCGGCGCACAACCGGCGCCCACACGGGCACCGTCGTGTCAAGGGCGCGCCCCAAGTAGTGCCTGTCCAGCTCGTTGAAGGCGTTGGAAAGGTCCAGGCTGAGCAGGCCCCAGTCTGGGTTGGCCTGCAGGGCAGCCGCCGTCAAGTGCACCACGGTCTCTGCCCCGCCAGGCGTGCCTACCCCATGTTGGAAGGGCGCCGTGTGCGCCCGGATTGTAGGTCCGAGGAGGTTCGCCAGTGCCTTCTGCAGCAGAGCCAGCAAGGTGTTTTGGACTACCACTGCCCGGACCCCGCCTCCAGTCTTCTGCAGCGGGATCAACCGCCCGCGCGCCAAGGCTCGTTGTGCTCCGTGGGGCGCCCGCCCTTCGGCCAGCAATATCGCCAGGGCACAGACCTTGTCCGCTCCTCCGGCGACCTCCAGGAGGGCCCTCCAGTGCTCGTAGCGTGAGCCGCCGAGGCAAGCGGCCACCCTGCGGGGCGTGTGGGCGAGGGCCTTGGCCACTGCTCCTTTCAAGGCACCCGCCAACAGTTCCGGCAGCGGCTCAGGAGCAGGGGCGGGTAGTGCCTGATGGCCCTCCGTGGGGAAGAGAGCTTGGACCCTCCTCGGTACGTCTGGGCCGTGCGCCAACGGCTCCGCTTGGAGGACCCTGGCGGACGCCTGCTTGAGCTCCCCCGCTTCCATTCTCCCTCCCTCCCTCCCTCCCTCCCTCCCTCCCTCCCTCCCTCCCTCCTCCTGCCCAGGGCAGGAGGGCGCATACACCGATCCGGGGCCCAGGGCGGTCCTGGCCAGGATCGGCGTTGGTTTGTGGTTGGTGCCTTCCTGCTGCCTCGGGGCCGCTCTCCCAGGGAGGGAAGGGCTCTCGGACGAGGAGGACTTCTGCAGGGCACCGGGGGGCTGCGGTCGGGAGCCTTCTTGGATACAGTGGAAGCCCATGCCAAGAAGCACCCCCTGCTTGCCTCCAGGGTGCCCTGGGTTTCTTGGGTGTCGATGGCTTTGCTATGGAAGGCGTGACGTTCCCACACCAAAAATCAATGAACCTCCTGGGGTCTCAGGGTTGGACTTCTTGTGGAGGGTTTCTTGTAAGTCGAGCTCCTACTGCAGCGCGCCGCTGGCTCTGGCCCACCACGCTGCGGAGCGACACGCTATCCACTTCGCGGTCCCGAGGCGTCCACGTCCCGAGCCTTTTCTGAGCCCCCCGCCCCGCGGAGTGGAGCGACACGCCATCCAGCCGCAAGGCATGGCGTGTCGCCGGGGCCGCTGGCGCGACACGCTGTCCCGAAGTTCCTGACCGTAGGGGTTAGCACGTCTCGGCAACCCCCTTTGTCACCTTGCATGAATGTTCAGAACTCCCTTGGCTGCCGTAGAATCCCGACCACGTTTGATTTGTGTGTTCCACCTGAGTCCAGAGGCCCGCGTGCAGGTGTGTTGATGTTCGATGTGTGAAGCGACAGGGGTAGTGGAAGTGCCATTACCGAACCATGATCGTGCATAATCACAGTTTCGATTGGATGCTATATGGCCGTTGTATCGGGATGCACAGTTAAATGAGGCAAGGTGCGTTGCGTGTGATCTGCGGGCACCAGTTTCGCTTCACACATACGCACACCACTGTGTGCACAATCCGCTGTACGCAGCATGCAGCATACAGCATGTTGCACTTAACGGCCACAATGCATGAATGTGTGACGAAGTGAACGCTGCACATGGGTCGGTTTAGATTGGCGAAGAGCTGGGGCTCATTACCTCTCCCTCTCTCCCTCCCTCTCTCCCTCTCTCCCTCTCTCCCGCGTTCACCTCTCACTTGTCAAAGGCGGAGAAGGAGAGAAAGAGAGAGCGAGAGAGATTGACGGTCAGACAGATATTGTTGCCACCGTGCCAGCGCAGCATCGAGATGCATGCAGTATGGTTCTGCTCAGTTTCCCGAACAGGCTCGGCATATCAATCCCATGGTCATATGAGGATTAACGCTACGATGCTGTTGCTTAGCGTGCCATTGAAGGTTGCATGATTGTCGTGTTGCCTATTGGGATATTCTTAATGCCTACTGGGTCTGTCTTCTTTGGGGAGGGCTCGTGGGAGACTCTGGGGCCCCTCAGCTCCTGGAGGGCATCTTGGGGCCGTGTTGACGGTTTGGGCGCAACGTTTGTTAGAACGATACCCAACGAACACGATGCGGGGGGGGAGGAACCGAGACGGGGCGCTCCCCCCCCCCCAGCACACGACGGGGGGGCGAAAACGACCCCCCCCCCACCTTCGCCACTCGAGCCTCTCTCTCTGTCCCCCGCGCTGCAAGGCGTGGAGGGCCCCCCCCCTCCTGGAACTCGAGTCTCTCTCCTTCCCGCGCGCGCTGCCCCCCCCTCCCCTCCCCAACGCACTCGAGTCCCTCGCATTCCGCCGAGCTGAAAGGGGCCTCATCCTCCCCCAGTACTCGAGTGATGTGATATGTCTTCCGACCCGCTGCGTTGGTGAGCACAGTACGTAGACTGCTTCGTTTTCCGACGTGGCGACTGGACTGGAATTGCCTCGTTTCGCCCATCGGGCATTGCTACATATCGTGTAAGGTGGCACGGTCTTTCTTTCGCTCTCCAGGCGCTGCCATGCGTCACGAGTAAAGTGGAAAGGACGGTTTTCTTGCCACGCTGCG